GTTGCACATGAGAGTCCAGGTTCTGGAGGACAGGAGAAATATCAGCAGCTGGAACATCTGGGCTTCATTTGTCTCTACAAGAGGTAAATCTGTTTGTTTCTGCAGCCTGCAGCTCCATTGCTTCGTGCGTCAGAGGTTAAAGGTCAGCAGGTGTTCTTCAGTCCGACCAGACGTGTGCTCACCTCCCACAGTTTTCTTGCCACCACGTCGTCCCGTCCCTCTGGAGCAGTTTCTTTCTCTGCACAGTCGCTGCAAACACAGACATGAACATTGAACAAGTGACTCAGTTTAATGTGTTTAAAGTGGAAATAACCCCAGAAAAGCTCTGCATGTGTTTATAAACAATCTCCAATGTTTGATATGTTTTTGTTCATCAATCAACCTGAAGTTCAAACCTGCAGCTCTTCTAACGGTTGAAAGTTTGCATCGTTGCCTCTTTGACCGACAGGTGGATGCTGCCACAGGCAGCTGTAGCTGCTCGCTGCCTGCAGGGCGAGCTGGACCTCTGCACTGTGCTTGTGCTGCTGGAGCCTCTTGGAGCATTTTTAATGACATCGTCTGACCAATAATATGGCCGCTGTTAGGTTAATGTCCAAGAAGGCGGAGCTCTGGTTTAGGTGAGTGAAATTTGTGGGTTTTAATTGGATGTTAGTGATTAGCAGGTATCTGCCTCTCACAGCCTGTGGATGCACGCTGACAGTCAAGCTAGCTAGCATTAGCTGAAACACTCCACCCGGTCGCTGGCAGTCAAAAACGCAGAGGGCTTCAATAACATCATTTAAAAGTTATTTATTTAAACGTCTTTACTACTTACAGCTGAGAGGAGAAATCTCATGAAAGAAAACAGAGAAATGACACGAAGTGAAAACTCTGATCTCCAGAACGGTTTTATTTGTTTACCAGCTCAGACACGCCCACATTTATTATCTGTCTACTCTTGTTTTACCTGAATTCTGCTCCTCGGACTTTAACCGCAACACTCTGAGATGCTCAGGGAACAGGCACAGGTGTTTCTTCAGCCCTGCCTCCTACCTGAAGTAGCATCCAGACAGGTCCTCCAGGCCCGGCGTCACAGCGCAGTACAGGGTGGTCTGGCAGCCCTCCCACGGAGTCTTCATGAGGAGCAGGGATGGGAGCTTCAGCAGCAGCCCGAGCAGGGGGAACCAACCCTCCACGTGGCGACCCAGCTCCGTCCGGATCACGCCTGGGTGAAGAGAGAACGACGACACGCCAGAGCCTGCAGGAAAGGTGAGGACAGAGTCAGGAGGCGGGTTTACAGGTACTTTCAGCAGTCGATCACATCACAGCACCGAGAGGCGAGATAACCTTTCCTCCCATCAAACCATTTTACAGTCGGGACCTCTGAGCGTTTGTGGCGCTCAGTGTTTGACCTGAGAGACGGCGGGCCAGCTCTCTGGAGAAGAGGATGTTGGCCAGTTTGCTCTGCCTGTAGCTCTCCAGAGCGCTGTACGGCCTCTGGCTGAAGAACAGGTCGTCAAAGTCAATACGACCTGTAAAAACACGAGGTGTTAAAGAAACAACGCAAACATCAGCACTGAGGTCTTTTAAGGGGGTGGGGGTACCTCCACGGTGGGCAACGGAGGACACGTTGACCACACGGCTGGGGGAGGAGCTCTTCAGCTTCGGCAGCAGCAGATTGGTGAGCAGGAAGTGACCCAGATGGTTGACCGCCAGCTGTGTCTCAAAGTTGTCCTCAGTCAGCTGTTTTGGACACATCATCACTCCTGCAGACAGACGGATGCTCAGAACGACAAAAAGACGAGCAGGGCTCACCTGTGAACACCTGTGCTCACCTGCATTGTTGATGAGGATGTCCAGCCTTTCTTCGCTGTCCAGGAAGTCTTTAGCAAACTGTCTAATGGAGTAAGTGGAAGCGAGGTCCAGGTGTCTGATCACCACGTTACCATTTCCTGTCGACTGGCGGATTTCCTCGGCCGCCCGTTCTGCCCGGGTCAGGTCCCTGCATGCCATCACCACCCGGGCTCCTTCATTCAGTAAAAAGTGACAAACACATTAGCGTCCGCTGTGCACGCTGCACGGGAAGAAAACTTCTTTCTAAATCTGAGCGAGCAGCGAGCAGCGAGCAGCGAGCAGCGAGCCCCGAGCAGCGAGCCCTGGATCCGCCCACATGACCGCTGTGGGCGAACCTCCACCCGCCCCCCTCCTGCTGAACAGGTGACAGTAGATTTAAGAGCTGCTGAGTCTTTGATTTTACTCATTTTCCACTGTGTTTTACTGCAGAGTGAAAACATAAAAACATGATTTCATGTGCAGAAATAGATTTAAGTGTTCAACACTTCAAGTCAAAGACTTGAAATAATTTCATTTTTGCTTAAAAGGTTAAAACTCATAAAACAAAGACTTTTACATTTGATTAAATTTATATGAAGACAACATGGGCTGAAAGGTCGATTCAGTTTATTACATATTCAGGTTGTGTATTGATTTTTTGAAAAGCAACTAAGTAATAAAGTAACTAAGTAAGTAATTAGTAACTAATTACTTTTTTAAAGTAAGTGGTGAAACATGTCCAGACTTTCACTAACAGGAAGAAGAGTTTCTGTTCCTGGAGTGGGAAACGTGCCGCAGCACTCGGACGCGCTCGGCTGCTGAGCCGGGATTAGTCGCCCTCACGCGTGTCTCGTCTTCGTTTATCACCTTCTAGAAATGCTCTGAACTGCTACAGATTTGATGTCTAATGACTTTCAATCACATTTGATGAAACGAAGAAAGATTTCCACAGCTGAGCACCATGTTCACTAAAGAACAGCCAATCAAATCAGTGGATCGGTGTTTAAAATAATCAATGCACCAAAGGACCGTAACAACCACAGAAGACACTGAAGTGGAAGATTACAGAATTATTTCCACGGGAAGAAAAACAACTTCGCAGCATCTAAAAGGCCTGAAACGCTGTGCAGCACGATCACTGCGATGCTTCCATGGATGCAGATACAACGAGGTGCAAACCTCGGGTATCCTCGGGCACGACGAGGACGATCAGACTTTAAGACTTTCTGAAAACCGTCTTTGGTGAAACTGAGATGAAGCTGTATCGGGAGGATGGAGAGAAAAGGGTGGAGGCAGTGTGGGAATGTTTGGCTGGGTCACAGGTGTTTACTGCTGAGGTGACAGCAGAAGCAACAAATCAGTGTTTCCCAGATTACAATAACAACACGGGGCTGTAGCGTTTCCCTGTCAGCAGCTTCTAAAGCTTCACATTCGAGTGTTCGGTAAAACGGATCAAACCGGGCTGACCTCGGCGTGCCAGATCTCTGCTCGTCTCTTTGCCGATGCCAGTGTTTGCTCCAGTGATCACAACTGTTTTCCCATCCAGACGAACCGAACAGCGACAAACTCCACCTGCAATCCACTTCCTCAGCACCGCCACGCCTGCAGACACACACACTCTGTCAGTACGGCAGGGGGGCGAGGCCTGATCTGCTGTTGTTTCTGCTGAAACTCAGCATTTGTATGACATTAACCTCTGCATGTGAGCTCACAGCAGCAGCTGTGGAACACATCTGGATGTCTGCATGCAGGTCAAAGGCTCCTAGTCTG